CATACATACATACATGCATACGCACATACTTACCTTTTTACGTACATACTTCCATACATACATACGTACATACATGCATACAGACATAGATACATACATACATACATACATACATACAGACATACAGGCATACAGACATGCATACATACATACGCACGTACAAACAAACAAACAAACATACATACATACATACATGCATACATACATACACACATAATATGTACATACACATATACAGATATACGTGCAAACATACATACATATGCACAGACTCGCATACACAGACAGACAGGCGGACATGTAGATCGACAGGGCAAGTTCATTTCGCTGTCTGGACCTCCCTAGGTCTGGAGCTCGCGATCCCTATCCGGGAGCAGGTGTCGACTGCAGCCGAGACATATCCCGGAATTATTCAGGCTCTGTTTGTCTATCGATCCATCTACCTACCTATCTTTCCATGTATCGATCTATCTATCTATCTATTTATTTGTCTGTTCAACTTAACATATATCATACACATACATATATAGATATCTGATAGATACATATTTACTTATGTATTTAGTTATATAACCTATTTTCAGTTATATTGGAATGTATACAGTGAGCTGGGTTGCAGAGACAGATGGAAGTTTCAAGCCATCATCCCGAAAGACTCAAGATTCAAGGGCCAATGCTTACATACCCGATGCTCCAAACCCCAAATTCCCAAAACCAGAGCCCTAAACCCTACATCCTCTAAGCCAGAGGGCCTGCTTATCTCCTGGCCCACGACCGTCGGGACGACACCAACTTGTACAGGGTTGTGCAAACGGAAACGGCCACCTTCAAGCTCGGGGCTTCACTGTAGCTTTGAAAAGGGGCACAGATTTCCCAAAGGAATCATTGCGACTCTAGTTGTTCTGCTGGCTGGTGTGCGGTTGTTCTTTAGGGGCTTTGAGGCTTGGGCTCAAGCCTGCGGCCAAGTAAAGTGTGCAGCAGTGGGGGATATTTTAGCACTGCGCTTGCGACTTACTTTAAAGGGACCCCTAAACCCAAAGCCCTCAACCGTAAACCCTAAATGCCCTAAACAATAACAAAACAACCTAAACCCTATAAAGGCTGCATAGTTGTTGGCTTGGTTCGCCCGGCCATCAACGGTCTTTGCAATCATGTCTTTTTCCATCCTTGCTGCAATCACTATCGTCGCCGACCGCGGACTTTCGCGTTGATTCGGGTCTTTTCCCTAGACCCCTAAACCGTGAACCTTAAACCCCTAAACTGAAAAACCCCTGAACCCTTAAACTCTCAACCCCTCATCCCTCATGCCCTTAAACCTTTATGCAGGTGGATATCAACCTGCTCTACCCTCTGCTTGCCGGCCTCGAGGAGAACGGAGAATTCAGGGCTGGGGGTCGGTGTCGGGCTTAGTATGATCTTGGGAATTTAGGGTTTAGGGCTTAGGGTTTAGAGTGATCTGCGGGAGGACCTTAATGAATACAACAGGGCGTTGGGGTATGTTGTGCTATAATAGGTATAATAGGGAACCTTATTAAATCAATTTCGGGCTTGAGGAAGCCTTCTGATCAGGGGGGGCCTGTAATGCTTACAATAGGATTTTGGGAAACCCAAACCGTCTACATCAGACTCATATAAAGGGGGTCCCGTAAGAGTTGATTTTGGCTTGGCACAGGCTCCACAGAAGATGTTTCATTGCGGTAACCTGTGAGGTCCGTTGGCGGGCCTGCGAGATTTAAAGCAAGCCCAAGTTGGGTATGGGTCCTCCGGCTGTTTGAGTTCTTCCAAAGTTTACAAGGTGTGGATAGAAGGAAGCGATAGAAATAACGGCATTGCAACTGCCTTTGCCGTTAGTTCCATGTCCCGAATAATCACTATCTATACACCTGCTACTATGATATTCTATGAGTCAATACGGCTCTCTGACACAGGCGAGCTTCCAGAAGCGCGCCAAGAAGACCGGGGAGGTGGACGCGTCTCCGTCCTCCCCGGATTCTCCGGATTCTCCAAAGGAGCGGCACCGGGAGGGTTGGATTTCAAAGGTTGTGGGGTCTAGGATTAGTCGTTTAAGGTTGTAAGGTTTAAGAGGTTCAACGTTTGAGGTTTTGCTGATAGGGTTTGTCTGGCGTTTGGAGCCAAGGAGTTGTTCGTAGACAGTGAGGGGTTCAAGGGAACGAAGTATTCGGGGCTTCCATGCATAGAGTCTGTTCAAGACGGCAGGCAGAGCATGTTCCGCCTCATACCTGCATCTCAAACTTCAAGAAGCGCTGTGATCTTGAGTAGACTGACTTGCCACTACTGCCGAAGATCCCCAAATCTTAAATCTCTTGGCTCCTTCCATGGTCGCCCCCGTACCGTGATCTTTCCCTGAGGCTCAAAGTAGCCCCAGAGCCCTCTATAGTATGGACTTTGGGCCCAAAAGCCTTCATGTATGAGTGCTTAAGAGTCGTAGGGTTTCATATCCGTCGTGGGCCTCATACCCACGAAGCAGAGGCCTCCACCGCGGCCACATCGCCGAAGGGAGTAGATCCCAAATACCAGGAATTGAATCCTAATTATTAGGATCTTACAAGGTAACCCCAAAAAGGAACTACGATGGAGACTATCGGTGAAATCCTAAACCCTAAACCCTGCATTAGGGTTTAGGGCTTAGGGTCTGCTTCGACGTGAACGGCTAAAGTTCGCTGGAGCATATGCGGCTGTCGGCACATCGCCTACAGCTAATCCGAGATGTGCAGTTTGTGATTGGTGTAGATACATATACGAACACATCTACATAATGCCTCAGCCCTGAAACTCAAGCCCTAAACCCCAGCCACAGCTACCTGCCGGGCATCTGCATGTGCAAAAGCAGTCCTGACCTCCTTTTGCTCCGGAAATCCTCGGTGGGAATCGGGCCGAGCCCGAATGCCGGGGGGGGACAATGTGTAACATCGTCTCCTTGTCTCTAGTTACAAGCTTGTGTGTGTAAGATACCCTAAAGCCCTATATATTTAGTATTCTACCGGTTAAGTCCTCGGAAAGATACTGGCGAAATTCAGGATTTGAGTTTTGAGGCACTTCTGGCCTTTGCAAAGCATGTGACCCAATTAAATCTAGAGTGCAGAATGCGACAGACTAGACTCTGCGCAAGTAGAAATACCACCACAAGCTCAGACCTCAGCAGCCCTAAAAGCACACTTACATGCATACATCCATACATCCATACATGCTTACATGCATACAGGCCTACAGGCATACAGACATACAGGCATGCGTGCATCGTGCATACATACATCTGTACATTCACACACATACACACGCCTACACATCACAGATAGAACGACAGGGAGATAGTAGATATGGATGGTTAGATGGATAGATGGATAGCTGGATCCATAGACAGATAGGCAGAGAGATAGATGGATACCGCCAGCCCTGGACAGGTGGAGCTCTGGACGAGGCTGAAAGACCTCCTGGAGCTCGATCGAATCTCGCCAGAGGCGGGTTCCGGCGATTTTCCCACGATGAACGATTCACATATAACGAAAAGCCTTACGTTGATTTATTTTCATGTTACTGTAATATATACACCAAGGCCCGCTTGAAATTATTCAGCACCTTAAGTTTTTGAAACCTGCCAGTCAGAGGCTTGAGCTTCTTGGGTTTGATGGTTCAGGATTCGATCTTCTGGGCCTGGGCTCAGGGGTTTTGGAGTTTCGGGTCGGAGTTTGGAGGATTACTTTTTGGAGTGTCCGTGGACGAAGGAAGATGGCAGTTCTTGGAGGGGGCTCAAGGTCTTTGATGTGTTCTTCTCAAGGTCCGAAAGCCCTAAACCCTTAAGCCTGAAGCCCCAAGCCTAAAACCCTAAACCTGATACCCTGAACCCAAAGTCCTAAGCCTAAAACCCTAAACCTGACACCCTAAACCTAAAGTTCTAAGCCTCAAGCCCAAAACCTAAAACCCTCTCCGAAGAACCCAGGCCCCGGTCGGTTGTTCGGGTTTAAGGGGTCCAGATCGAAGGATTTCCCCTCCCAAGAGACCTCCCTTAAGCCCTAAACCTGAGCCCTAAACCCAAAACCCTAAAACCCTAAAGCCCTAAGCCCTAAACCCTAAACCCTAAAATCCTCAACCCTAAACCTTAGACCCTCCCAAGAAGCCTTCAGATCCAACAAGGTTTAGGGTTGCAAGATGTCAAGATGTTGCACAGTTTTGGGATATGAGGTCTAGGTGAGCCTTAAGCTGACGCGAAATTTCTGAATCGCGCAATTTCCCAGCGAACCCTGTGCCAGGAAGAGTCACCAGAGATTCTGGAGGCTGCAAGGGAAGGGGGGGGGGGGGGGGG